AGCCAACAGCATATCTTTCTTTGATTATCCTGGTGGTGATTCCAAAGGTTCAAGCTCTGTCCTCAGTACTTCTGTTGCATGTCCTCAGGTACAGGTCAGATTTTGTTCCAAGAAGACTGCTTTTCTGGACAAAACTTCACCTTTACCAGATCTTTGTTTCAGGAATACTACTTTTCCAGACAGAACATCAGCCTTACTTGATCTTACATCTTTCAGCATCTCCCCAGATCTGCAAAAAGAATGAGTAAGGCCTGCCATCTCCATGGGAAGAGAATGTCTGTACTTGTCAGCTGCGCTGAAGTCACTCTTACCACAAGACAAACAATAAAGTATAAAATTGGAATAAAGTTTCATCCTACGTCATAAATAAAGTTTATGACGGAGGATGATAGAAGATGCAAGGAGAAGGAATTGTTAAGTTTGGAGACAAATTTGCGAAATCAAATCAGAAATCTTTTATTCTGCTTTCCACAGACATTATTGGCGCCTCAGGTCTAGAATCTTCCACTAAAAACCAAGGTTTCTAGACAGCTTTTTCTCCAGAAGGATTCTCTTAAATCCCTTAACGTTATCTCTCCATCCTTATTTCTCAGCTCAGTTCTTGAGATGCCTGTGCATTTTGGCAGATGATTTCCTTCTCCTCTAGTCAGACAGTTTGTCTGACAAATGTAGGTGTCCTCTCTTTCCATTAGTATATTTAAGGAGGACAGCAATATACACAAAAACCCTAATCAATTTCCTTCAGTCATTCTTTATTCTTTTCAAGAGGGAGAGACATCTGTGTCAGCGTGAAATTTTCTTCTTGGTGTGAATCTAATGACAACGTGCCTGGATGTCTTTCTTAGTATGAATCAGATACTTCTTCCTCTGGAAATGCTCTCAGTCTCAGCCATCGTTGGGCAAAACTGAGGCATTTTCTTTTGCTAGACCCCTCTAGTCCATCTCAGTTTCACCTTTTCCTTGTCTGATTGGTATGCATGCCAAAGGTTTTCTAGGCCCTTGTCCAGTGAAGAGCACTCCTGATCTAGCAGTATACCCACTGACAGTCTTTTGCTTAAGTCAGATCAGAAAAATACAAAGATATATTCATACCAAGAACCCTGGTTCATATAAACATCAAAATGATAAAATGAATATAGCTTATGATTAGCTGTTAATAGAGACCAAACATGACAGAATATTCAAAATCAATCAGATTTTTTTAATATACAGTATTATTAATGTAAAGCCAATAATCAACATTATTGCTAAACATGTTTGGTGACTATGATGTTATTATAAATATTAATTTTGGGTTACCTTAATAAAGGATATTTTGAATGTATATTGATATTTTTCAGTTATTACTGTAACTGTCCAGTCAAGTAATCTTGGATAATTTCTATAATTATTTATATGATTAATTTGATTCTGAATTAATCTTTCTAGACATTAATTACTAAAGACAAAGTTATCTATGTATGCATAGAGAAGATGTTTTAATATTCATGTATCAATTCTTAATGCAGTATGTTAATGCTGAATCATTTAAACTGTTTAAATATTTCTTTATGAATTAGGCTTAAACATGGATATTCATTCATTTTAGCTTTCAAATCAGGAGTTGCTTGATCCAACTCGTATCAAAATTATTGGGAAGAATTGATTTTGGTGGGCGTAGACTGTTACTACCACCCTTAATTTCAACAATTTAAGGCTGTAGTTCTTACCCATTTTAGGCCTGAGGCATCCATCAGAAAATGCCAGCTCTTAGCAGAAAAATAATGGAACAGTTCTTCTGTTACAAAACTCAGAAATTCCCCAACAGGACAGAATGCTTTTAACTTTATTGATTCCTCTTTGAAATATCTGGGTTTATCTTATGAATCATTTTATACATCTAAAGTTGCTAATCTTGCAAAGCACTTGTGAAAGGATCTCAAAGCACCCCAAGGTGCTACAGTATCCTGATTGAGAATCACTGCTTCAAGGTATCTTATCTTCAGTGGGAGGTTGTGTATGTAGAGATCTCAGGGTTTGATCCAAGGAAAATATTTTTTTTGTAACATTTATTAATTCTTTAATTTATATATCTCTAGATACAACTTGGAAGTAGCTGAAAACAGCCCTCTCCCAACCTTTTTCTTTTTCAGTATGTATAATATCCTTAATTCTAAGCATTCTGCACAATCTAGCATAAAAAATCTGGAACAAGGGACATTTTTCTTTGTTTTAAATGGGCAAAGTCCATGGAAATGCCTCCATTTATATTAGCAGGGTATTTCGCCCACTGTTATGTTTGTATTGTGGTAGCAATCAAGAACAAGGACCATAGAAAATGAATATATTTGCTTGATGCTAGGCATTATACAGACATATGAAGATGCAGTTCCTGTCTCAAAGGCTAGGGACAGAAATTAGACATAAACCAGTATAAGTGATCAGAAACTGGTTTAAATATGTAACAACAGAAGTTCAGCGCGCACAAACCACTTTCAAAATGGCTGAAGCAATTTTAAGATAAAGCTAGATGGATGTAGTATCAGACTTAACTGATTTAGGTTAAATTAGTTTATTGAACTTCTGTCCCAGATCCCCTCCAGATTCAAGTTAACTTATAGTCCCCACAGCATCTCGGGATATTTTTCACCTCCTCCATCAATGCCCCCTTGAAGAGTGGGCAGGCTAGCCTTTGCCCAAGTTGTCTGCTCCAGCCCAGCAGGGAGGCATGTTCTAGTGCCCCTGAGCTTCTGGCGTTGGCCACTGCAGGCATGTGGCTGCATTTCTGGGATCAAAAGTGAATGCCCGTTAACTTGTTTATCAGTTCAATCTACACAGTTTAGACTAACCTGTGAAGATTGAATTGGTTCAGCCTCAGGCTTTTCAGCCATTTGTACTTAGTCAAAGAACATATGTTTGCATTAGCATTGTATTTCCAAGGTACCTAAAGACATAGTGCATAGTCATTATTTAGATAATATGTTGAGTCTTCAAGAACTCAGTATTTTTTAAGAATTTAAGCAAAATATAAAAAAGGGGGCATCTTCATGAGATACTTACTGCAGAATTGCCTAATTAACTCTGCAGTAAAGCATCACCATCTACATGTGCAAAGCTATTAATTTGGAGTAAATTGATTAACTCCTCTGTACGTTAGCACTGTCTAACACAAGTAGTATCCTACAGTAGAGTTATTTACTCTGCTGCAATACATGTGGGGCACAAGGGTGCTACAGTGTGGGGGCTGTAGATGATAGGTAATTGTAAATTTAATTCTGTGACCTTCTGTTACAAAGGGAAATACCACAGTAAGAGCTTGTATTTTATGGGTTTTCAAGGGGACACGAGTCTAAAAAGGACTCCCATCTGATCTCACTTCAAACATTTTTTGGGTTAAAGAAATGCAAAGAAACTTACTTGTGCTTTATGCAACTTCTGATGCGGGGTGGGGTCTTCCTGTGACCATGTTTTCTATGGTCCTCTCTGGAAAATAGATTTGGAACAATTAGAGTGATTAAGCAAGTTTCTTATCTCAACTTTCCATCAACTGCAGGCAGTCCTCGACTTACGACGGTTCGAGTTCCGACGAACCGCAATTATGATGCTTGTAAATTGACACCTGGGTTTCGAAGTTCCGACTCAGGTTTCAACTTTACAATGCTGAATGCAGGATTACAGGTCTGTTGGTGGAAGGGGAGGGGGAAGGAAAGGGCTGTGTGGGGGCAGATTAGGGCTCCTGCTGGTCGGCGGGGGGGCGCTGGGGCTGGAACAGGAGGTGGGGCAAATGCTGCGCAGCTGGGGCTGCACTGGGCTCTGGGAGTGGGGGCTATGGGTGCTGGGAGAAGCCACAGCTTGTCTGGCTGCTCCCCCAGCTGTCCTTGCTGGGGCGAAGAAGGCAGTGCCAGGGCTGCGCCAGATGACCACGGGAGAAGCCACAGCTCAAGCCACAGCTCATCTGCCTGCTCCCCTAGCTGCCCCCACTGGGGCAGGGCAGGCAGCTCTGGGCTGAGCTAGGCGGTTGCGGGAGAAGCTGTGACCTGTCCAGTGGCTCCTGCCACTTGTCCAGGAGGGCATGGGGTGGGATGGGGTGGGGGAGGGAAGTGTGAATCCCAGATCTGGTCTGGTCAGAGAGGGCGGGCTGCGCTCGGGGCAGATCTGAGGGCACCCCACCTATGCACTTCTGGACATGTGACCAGAGCAGCAGTGTGCTGCTCGTCTGGGAGCCATTTGCTAGGCAGCTCCTCTGGTGCTTAGTCATCACTGCTACTGTTACCACTACAGCACTATGGTACAGTACTGTACCTGTACTGAATAAAGAATAAGTCCCAGTACTGTACTGTACAGTACAGTACTTTACAAGTTCACTGTGCTGCCAGCGCGCTGTTCTGTTTCCATACTTTTTCCAAACTGCCCATAATAATGGCAGAAAAGCATAAATCCGGTGGAAGTGATGTTTCTTCTTCTAAGAAACGTAGAACAATTACTATGGAAACAAAAATGGAAATAATTAGGTCTGAAAAAGGTGAGACCCCAAATGAAATGGGTAGAGCTTTGGATATCCCCCGAATGACTATCGTGACCATCCTGAAAGACAAGGCAAGAATTCAGGAGCATGTTAAGGCCTCGGCTCCTATGCACTCAACTGTGATAACTAAGCAGCGTGTTGGACTTATTGCTCAGGTTGAGAAACTGTTAATCATTTGACTGGAGGATCAAAATAAACGCGGTGCTCCTGTGAGTTTAGGCATCATTCAGGAAAAGGCTAGGAGTCTTTATGATGATCTAAAGAAACAACAGGGGGAGAGTTCTAATGCTGAGACTTTTAGTGCAAGTAAGGGGTGGTTTATGCCTTTTAAAGCCAGGGCAAATTTGCATAACATCAAGGTCTCAGGTAAAGCTGCAAGTGCTGATGAAGAGGCAGCTTATGTTTTTCCTGAGACATTGGCTGAAATCATTGAAGAGAATGGCTATTGTGCTCAGCAGGTTTTTAATATTGATGAAACTGGACTCTTTGGAAAAAAATGCCGTTGAGAACCTACATTGCCAAGGAGGAGAAATCCATGCCAGGGTACAAAGCTGCTAAAGATATGCTCACTCTTTTGTTTGGTGCCAAAGCTGCAGGTGACTTTAAACTTAAACCTTTACTTGTGTACCATTCGGAAAACCCCAGAGCTTTGAAGGGACATTCCAAGGCATTTCTTCCAGTGATATGGCAGTCCAATCCTAAGGCATGGGTCAATAAGAACATTTTTGAGGATTGGTTTAATCATCATTTTGTGCCAAGTGTCAGGGATTATTGCAGCAAAAACAATCTTGCATTTAAAGTGTTGTTAATCCTTGACAACGCTCCTGGTCATCCACCCATCCTTGATGACACGCATCCTGTTATAAAAGTGGTGTTTCTGCCCTCCAACACCACCCCATTGTTGCAACCTATGGACCAGGGGGTAACTGCATCCTTCAAGGCCTACTATCTTAGGTGCACATTTGCCCAGGTCATCAGGGCAATTGAGAAGGAAGGTAGACCAACTCTGAAGGACTTCTGGAAGGGCTTCAACATTTACCATGCAGTTAAGAACATTGGTGAGGGATGGAATGAAGTCAAACAATCAAATTTAAATGGTGTTTGGAGAAAATTGTGTCCTTAGTTTGTGTCCAGCTTCCAAGGCTTTACAGACACTGTTGAAGAGGTGACCAAAAATGTTGTTGAAACAGGCAAAGAACTCAACTTAGACGTTGCACCAGAAGATCTTGATGAGTTGCTGGCATCCCATTTTGAAGAATTAACCAATGAGAACCTCATTGAATTGGAACATCAAAAAGTGGCAGAGGAAGAAGATGCACCCTCTGTTGAAGAGACTCCTCTTCATAAAGTCTTGACAACAAAAGTGTTGACTGAGGCATTTCAGTATTTGGAAGCTGCCATGTCCCTGTTTGAGGAACATGACCCTGACATTGAACGCAGTGCATCAGTGAATAGGGACATATCCAGCATGTATAGCTGCTACAGAGAAATTTACAAGCAAAAGAAGAGAACATCTGTCCAAACTTCCTTGTGCACTTTCTTTAAGAAAACAGACAAGACTCCTGAGAAGACTCCAGTCAAGATTCCTTCAAAAAGTCCAGCAAAGTCACCTTAAAATCCTTCCAAATAAATATGATTGCTATTTACAATATTGTATAAATACATAAATAAATACATATAGACAAGTAATATAGCTACATTTATTTATTTTATATAACTGAGTGGGTACTGTACAAAATTCTGGGTTATTTTGGGTGAAAATAGGGTATCAGGCCTTGGTTCGGGAACCAATCCTTCATTTATAACATTGTTTCCTATGGGAAAATTGATTCTGAGTTACAACTTTTCAACATAAGACGTGGTTTCCAGGAACCAATTGTGTCATAAGTCTGAGGACTGCCTGTATTAGCAAATAACTTCTGTTGATATTCCTGACCGCCCATCTTTTTTGAATGTATCTGCATATATATCACAACTGTTTTGGTTTGGTCATAGGTTTGATTTAATTTCATCCTTGTCTGAATGATTACTCTGAACAGAAAAATTCCATGTACTGTAGAATTTGTTTTTGACAGTAAACATAATGTTTATGTCTACATGTTTCCATTTATATTTAGTATTAATGCAACTATATTGTAGTTTAAAATCAGGGTTAGTGCTTTTAAAATGAGTATTTATCATTTGTCTGACACCGTCCTCATTCTCAGTCTGTTTAGTACCAGGAAAATATCATCCTTCTGTTTTGTTGGTTGGTCTTCTGCAATGCTAGTATATGATACAAAAAATCCCTGGGAATCGCACAAAGAAAAATAAATGTTTTTTCATTATTTTATTTCTATATTAAATAACATCTGAATAGAAATATTATCACTTTTATTCTATAATATAGTAATACTCATTACAAATCTTTTTTGCATTTTAAGAGGTATTTTCTGACACCCAACCGCAGGATTTTTGCTCATGGCATACTAGCACAATCCTCAGTTAAACAATATATTCCTCAAAATGAAGAAAAAGGCAGTGATATTATACCAGTATTTTAGTAGTGAGTTCCCACTTGATTTGTGATAAATCTCATGCCTTGTGAGAGCGGATACCTGTCTTTAGTGGAAATAAGGGACAAGAGAGTTAAGTTGCTACCCTGTTTAAACAAACCTGGATCCTTATGACTTAGCAGGTAGTATTATCCAGAATCTCATAAAGTACACTTTACTATTTCTGGGATGTACATTAGTAATATTGATAGGGTAGCACAATGTTGAATGTGCAGGTGTAGACTGTGTAATGGGTGATACTAGGGATCATCCCCTGGGAATTCTAATATTATAAAAGCCTTAGTCTGTCTGTCTGTCTGTTTGTAACGCTTTATTCGCACTCTGATTGATTGTCTGAAACAACCAATCAGAGTGCTCCAACAGTGTTGTGGACAGGCGGTGGTGATGTGCTGCTATGACGGCAGGGATGGAGGGGACAGAGCAGTGGGGTGAGGCTAACGGTGCTGGCCCCCCACCCTGCACAGCCCTGCTCCCTGGAGATGGCGGCAGCGATGGAGCAGGGGGAAAAGCCCCAGACCCAAAGCGGGGTGGGAGGAGCGGCTGGGCCAGTGGTGGGGGGAGTGGGCCTGGTCCTGGCCCCAGCCCTGAAGCAGCGGGGCAGGGGGGGAAGCAGGCCTGGCTCTGAAGGGGTGGGGGGGAGGGGAGAGTGGTCCCAGCCCTGAAGTGGCAGGGGGGAGGAGGGGGGGTGGGCCCAGCCCTGAAGGGGTGGGGCCAGACACAGGCTTCTGTCCCTGCCTGCCCCCTCCTGTCATTCTTGACAGACAATTTGCTAGTTATTTTTATAAATGCCTGCAAATAGTTCAGTGGGCTCCATTCAGATGTTTTAAAAAAAATCTTAAAACTATCCTTAGAAGCTCCACAAACAACCAATTTTTGGTAGAGAAACTGTGGTTGTATCCAGAAAGGGAGATCCAACTCCACTGGCTGGAAAAATCACTCTAAACCTCTACTCTTCACCTTGGTGATTAGGTCCTTGCTAGGGCATTCCAGGAAGCTCTTCCAGTACATAGCTGTTTTCTTAGTAATTAAACTGTGGTTCCTTTAAGATTTGGTGACTTAATATTTTATGATAAACTAAGTTAGTATATGTAAAGCTGTCAGGATAACAGCTCCTTTTGGTGTTGGCACTTCCTTTTAAACATGCCATTAAAGCTTAAATTCTCTAACTTTCTTTTTGCACAGTCCTCACAGTATAGATGTGTAGCCAGGTAAGTTTGGTTGCTGGTAGAGCTGAAGTCTGTTAACAGTCTCCCAGTTAAAATTTATAAAGCTTATACACAATTGCAGAGAGAACATTTACATACTTCATCTCTCAGTGCACTCAGTGCATTTACATACTCAACTTATATGTACTCATCACCATTAGGATCTGAGTACTTGCTCAAGTTTCCTACAGATTGGGTGCGTCTACATGTGCTATTAGCACACAGCCAGCAATAAACTCTGGTGTATATCACACCAGAGTTTATCACTCCCAGGAGTACTGTTTGAATGTATGTCTGGGACTGTAGCATGTTGAGCCAGGTTGGAGCAGGCGTGGCTAACAGGGGAGCTGTGGGTTCAGCCTGCCAGCCTGGAGCTGTTCCAACCTGGCTCAACATGCTGTAGAGGAGCTGGGAGGGGCACAAGGGTGCTACAATGCAGGACTAGCCGGCAGGCAGCCCCCGCACTGAAGCACCCTCATGCCCCAGCTAGCTGGGTCAGCATCTACATGTGCACTGCTGCACACAAGAAACCTCTGCAGCAGGGTAGTACTTGTAAGCACAAGTACTACCTTGCTGCAGAGTTAATTAGTTTCTTTTGGCCTCATGGGGCCTCATGTGTAGACACAGGATGTTTACTGCGGAGCTAATTAGTCTACTCCACAGTAAATGTCTTGCGTAGATGTGCCCATTGTCTGGCAATGCTTTGAAAATGCTGCTGGGTGACTCATAAAAACAGATGAATGAGACGGTAAAACAGGAGGAAACATAGGATTTATGTGCCTTGAGCCAAAACCCCAGAATTCTATTGCCTTCCAGTAAATATTCCACAATATGCAGTTCAAGTATGCCAGACTGTATTCAGCACATTGGCAGAACAGTGCACCAGGGCATGTCTGCCCAGAATATTAAGTGCTTGTTTCCAAACATTGCAGTACTACATATATCCACTGGTGTGGAGTGCAAGTACCTTAATCACAGGATCATAATAAAGCATTCGCACACTGCTGAAACAACTGTTGCTGAAGATCATTTGACCTTTATGCTCAAAACAAGTTTCAAGTGTAGTTATACCCTTTCCTCCCTCCTGCCATGCCTTGATGGAATTATTTTATTCTAAAAAGGGAGGCTGCCCCAGGGTCCCCGGGTAAGCCCTAGCCTGTTTTGGCCAGCAGGTCCCTCTTGTACCAAGCTGACCCCAGTCCTGACCTTCAAGCCCTAAGTGGAGCCCTCCGACCCTGTGTCTCAGGGTGCCAGCTGCCTTAAGGCTATTTGTGACCTCCTTTCGCCCCTACAGCTGCACCCATGCCTTGCAGATATTATTTCAAGTTGTCTGGGCTCTGGCCCATCTGTCACTCTCTAGTCAATCTGACAAGCCCCCGGTCTTGGCAAGACTGTCTTTTCTCTAGGCCCCTTATCCAGGGTTTGTCCCTCTTGACTTAAGCCTGATCTGGCCTCAACCTTCTGCTGTCTGATTCCCTGACCCTCACACAGCAGCTGTAGCCTTACCATAGCCATCAGCCTTCTGGGTCCCTGACCCCAGGCCAGGATGCTTCCACTACCAGTCTTCTGCCCTTATAGTCCCAAATCCCAGGCTGGACAGCTTCTGCTACCAGTCTTCTGCTCTTGGGGGTTCCTGTCCCTAGGCTAGACTGCTTTTACTGGCCTTGGCTTCCTGGCCTCCACCTGCATCAGCTCACAGCCCCCTGGGTTCCTGACCCCAGGCTAGGCTGTCTGATCCTGACCTTAGCCCTCTTGGCCTTGGCCTAGCATGGCACACCAGTTCCAGCCCTCTGGGTTCCTGACCCCCAGCTAGGCTGCCTGCTTCTGAGTGCCCTGTCAGCACCCCTTTGTGTCTCCATATCTCCTCCATAGCCACAATCTGGTTCTCTGGTCTTAATCATAACATAAACACAAGCCCATAGGCTGTGTAACACAGATTCTCCCTGCACTAGGTCATAACTGTCCTGCATGCTATAAGGCCCCCCTTCCTCTTTGCTTGCAGCTCACAGGGATGTCTTGAGTGCTGGTCAGTCCCTCACCTGCAGCCATCCTGTTCAGGAGCTCCTTTACCTGTTGCCTGCAGGGTCCGACTGAGTGCCTGGTCTCAGGCACTAGCCTCATGTGCCTCCCAGTGTACCACCTCTTCCAGTCAGGTGGCTCTCCAGCCACCCACAGGGGTTTCCATTTTAGGCCTGATGACCAGCCTGCCTTTCTCTGCTGCAGCATTTCATTAAGGTTACAGGAACCCCTGGCCCCATTACAGTAGTGAAACACTGGAATGAGATGGTGTGGAATCTTTCCTTTACTGATGGTTTTATACAATAGATTCAATAAACATCTGCCTAGGATGGCCCAGATACACTTGATCCTGCCTTAAATGCAAAAGGATGGGTGGCACTTTCAGCTCCAGATTTTTGTGGCTGTAAACAGATGCCTTAATTGACCAACTGACTGTCCTGTAGTTTGACCTGGATCAAAACAGGATGAATGCAGTCACTTAACGAATGTCACCCTTCTGATATGCATTGCTGCTCCTTTGCCAGCAGGTGACCAGCATGCAGCCTGAGAGGCTTGTCCCTCAATCAATGTGTAAGTCTGTACAATCCTGGGGCAAAGGGCTTTCTCATGGGACAAATGATCGCATTTGTCTGTTCATTGCCTATAATTTTAAGTAGTTAT